TCATATGTATTAGATTTGTTTTAGTTTTTGCGGCATTACACAAATACACACTTAAAGCTTTCACTATTTCATATATGTAGATTTTTGCTCCACTTCTGTTTTTTTGTTTTTGTTATTTCTCCTCATAATTACTTATTTTATATGTTTTTATTTTGGGTCTTTCATGCCTTCGTTAAGTAAGTTTTCCTAAACTTCATTTTTCGTTTTGTAAAGTTTTGGTTTTAACTTCTTGTTTTTGTTTGCTCTTCAAACTTCATTCATTTTTATTTTTTGGTTATAGTTATGTCTTCTCTTTTGTAGTGGTTTTGTGTGTTTTTTTTTTGTTGAAAATGGAAGCATTTTATTTTGCTACAATGCATCATAATTAGTGTTTTATTACAGCTTAAGTAATCCTATAGTTTTCTTTACTTTATCTTGTTATTGTTACGAGTGCCATATTTCATAAGAATACTTGGAACTTCCAAACAGTAACGCGATATTTGTCTTAGTCAAATTGTTTTCTACAATTTTGTTTTCTTTTTTTTATTATTCTTCTTAGTACAGAAGAGTAATAAAACTGTTAATTTCACGCTTAATTTCAATAAACAAGGCCTACATATAGGCAATATGTAATTTCTAGTGAAATCAGTAGCGAAATAATAATTAAATCATTGCCTACATATAGGAGCATCGCTTACAATTTTAACACAAATACTTTTCCTTTTATGAGTCAAACGAACCTAACAATAATGAACAGTAGCAAAACATGTACAAAAAAGGATATAAAAGATCCATAATTAAACATTATGTTCACAAATGATTCGCTCAGCAGGCATTTTAAGTTGGCGTGTCAAAGATATACAAAAATAGAGATCATATGACGATTATAGCTCAAATTTCGTGCTCCTGCGAGCCCGAATTCCTTAGCAGAAACACTTCCACACAGACCTGTTTGAGGTAGTCTGAACTCCTCGCAGCATACGATGCAACAATACGTAGAACAGCACGTCACAACAAGTGACGGCCTGTGTACTGGTGGAATGAGGAAATTACCACACTGAGAAAAGTGAAGAATCTAAAAGCCACGAGAAGCTCCTGAAGTCGGAAGTTACGCGTAGCAAAAATCATGTTTTGAGCCTTGGGGTACTGCTTACAAAATCTGTATGTCGTGCTTTAAAAATGAGTAGTAGCAGCCTAAAAATGCATCTTTTATGGGAAAAGGAGTCGACATTTTATTCTCGAAACCCGATCGCATTTTCTATACCAGGCGACGAAACAAAGCTGCATAGTGTCCCGTATTAGTCAAGAAAAAATAGTTATTGGCAATAACAAAGAAAATCAAGAACATTAAAGCGCCTGTATTGGATGGCATACTGAACAGAGCCCTGAATGAAGCTATAAGCTCAACACAATAACTGTTTGCTAAAATGTACAACGCTTGTATAAAGGAAGGGTGTTCGCCGACGCGATCAAAGAAATCACCTGAAGAACCTTCATCATACCGAACTCTGTGCATGCTGGCACAATCGGTAAAGTGTATGAAAATATAAAAGAAACGCGCTTGGAGTTACCAATCCAAGAAGCCGACCAAAAAAGAGATATACAATTGTCGTACTAAGAGAGGTCAGCGATACTCCGAAATGTGCAGTAAGTTGCAAAAGATGGAAAGGTGGCCCAAAAAAGTACTGCGCGCTGAGTACCCTGGATATCAAAAATGCGTGCAACACGGCAAAATAGACACACATAATCATACTTCATAAACATTATAACGAGTTACCTTAAAAACTGAAAGCTAATTTTTGATACGGACAAGAGACCAAGAGCTACTTTATTTCGAGTGTTGTAATTCAAGGCCTAGTATTAGGCACACTATTATAGTACCTCATGTTTGACGGAATGCTAAGAAGATAGCAGCCAACAGTCGTGGAACTAATAGCTTATGCGGACGATCTTATGGTGGTAGCTGTGGAAGAACGAATAGAGTGCGATATTACTTCACAGCCGCAGCTGAAGTATTTAGAAGTAATATTGGATTTCAATTTAAAAGTTAAGGAACAGCGGACGTATATTTCCAGTAAAGCAAACAAAATTTATAATGCTCTATGAAAAATGCTGCTCAATAGAAGCTGGCTGTGTTTCAGCCAGCATCATTGGTACCTGGATTTCCATCTGACCCAAATACTTTGTGAATATGAGTGCTTTAGAGGCTTATACTATGGTATTATTCCGAACTTGAAGACTCTGACTCAGCATTCATAACGACAAAACTGTGACTTTTAAATAGATTAGGCGTTTGTCAATCCGCACAATAGAGGAGACTTAAATTTTCTGTTCCACCCATGAAGTAATACTTAACTGGTGGTTCCGTGGAAGAGTCTTTAGTTGTGAGTAGGTTAAATTTAGCGGCTTAAAGTTAAACACTCCGGCTGTCGATGCTTCTCCCTACTATAAAAAATGCTTCATAAACAAGTTTGACTTATACATACGAATCTTAAACGTAACTTAAAAAAAAATTGACTTTCTCAAAAATACAAAAAAATGTATCTAAATATTGTATATTTTAAGTGATATTTAAATACATAATAATGCGTAGTCGAAAAAGTATTTTCGTATTTTGTCAATAGATGTCGTAGCAGTCGTATATCTCTAGTGTTACCAATCAAATTGTATCATACCGTAGAGTGTTGGAAAGGTGAGAGTTTAAGTTTTTTTCAACCAAAAATTTTGAATTTTTTGCATAAAAAAGGGAAGAATGCCACGCAAGCCACGAAAGAAATTTGTGAAGTTTACGGAGACGATGATGTATCAGTTCGTGTAACACAATAATAAAGTTTGCTCTTTCCATTCTGGAAATTTCGAAATTTCGTTTTACACTGATGCAAGAAAAAGTGATCGAACAATATGATATATTATTAGTATTATACGAAAAGGCTTTTTCGACTACCCAATACATATTCGGGTGGGTCAAAAAAAATTTTTTTTTTTATTATATGTGACCTGGTCTACGGAAAGGGGGCTTAGGTGTCAAAAAATCAATTTTCACTTTTTTTGTTTATTTGATGGAACGAGTTGTTTATTTTTAACAGCTGTTTCCCAGAAAACTAGTTTTCGCACGTTAGCTCAATTTTCGTAGACCAGGTCACTTATATACATATGTGGTATTCCATACCAAATTTGAACCCGACCCCTTTAGATTTTGTTGAAACTTATCCATCCTTTTCTACCTTTTGAAAAACATTTTTGAGAATTTTTTCAAAATTTTTTGTCCAACTTCAAAAAATTTATGAATTTTGCTATTTTTTGCTAAAAAATGGCTTGTCAATATGATAGAAATAAAGTTTACGGGGAAAAAATTTTTTTCATTGTTTTTT